ATCGTGTAGGAAAACAAAAGGGTTGAAAATCCTCTTGAATATATGATCTCACTATGCTTTTCAAGAACCCCCGTTGCTTGTGATGTCCATCCCAATAGATGCTTCTCTCTGCTTTTGGTCAACCTCGACCGATTCTTGCATTGCTATGAACCAGTCAGCATTGGCAAGAAGAGCATCATCAACGCTTTTGGTTTATTGAGATATGAAAAAGCATACTGGTTCGTCATCGATTTACAGATGATCTGGTTTCGACACCTTCCTTTTGCATTTCCATCACAAGTTCTTTGAGATGATTTGGTTGGATGATTTCCTATCGTTTTGCTCTGTTGCAGCAGTTTGTTCTTCTGCGGGGTACAGTGGTTAGCGCTTCTGCAGAGTTATCTTCTACGGATGCATCTTCTTCGTTGCTATATATCTTTGATTCCTTCATCACCTTTACATCAATGGATTCTTCCACTCTCTCGGTATTCTTGTTGTATGCTCTGAAGCTTCGTTAGACAGAGATTAACCAAGATAGCCTCATCTGATCTATATAATCGAACTAAACAACTTGATCAACATTTCCATCCAAAGACATGAAAAGACGAGATGCTCGGTTTTCTTACTTTATAAATCTCATAGGCGGTATCCGACCAAAAAAATAAAAAATAAAAAATCTCATTGGCAGTCCTCTTGGGAAAACGTCGCGCGTGCGCACAACTGCAAATGCAACATGCAGGACATGCTACTTCTGCCCAAGAATGCTTTGCAATGTTGCTTTCAAGCAATATAGCTCAAGTCATCTCCTGCAAAGTCTAGTTATTCCTTTCAACTACACCATTTTTTAAGTAAACAGGGCTAAATAGTTATGCTCAATGCCATGCTCATTGCTCATCACAACAAGATGCAAAATCATGGTTTTCAAATTCGTGCTCATGATCAGTTCTTATACAATAAATCATAAGCTCTTCTTCATCTCGAATCCATTTTGCAAGCTTTGTGAAAGCAAGAATGCACCGTTCTCATAAATAAAAATCACACCCAAGTAAATCGAAAATAATCATCCATATCAACAAGACCATATCTTTTACCACAAAGACTGTGTCCTCCTCAAGTCTGCATGCAACTTTTACAAAGGACAGTTACTGGATACAATTTTTTTTTTGAAATGAACGAACCTTTCACCTGCTTACCCAGTGAGCATGCATCACAATGACTTCCCTTGTCAACCTTGATCCTGGGAAGACCACGAACAAGGTCCTTCTTTGCAAGGACAGAGAGTTTCTGGAAGCTTGCTTGTCCAAGCTTTCCATGCCAAAGCCAGCTTTCATCTTTCATAGTAAAAAAGTTAGTTTTCGTTGAAAAGATCAAAACCGTTTGAATAAATAATAGGATTAATACCACGAAAAACCTCAAACTAGTACACTTGTAATAAATTTACCTCAAACTAATTTTTTGACCATAAAAAACCCCAAACTGGTACACCTGTAATAGAATTACCCTAAACTAATTTTTTGATTACCAAAAATCCCAAACTAGTACACTTGTGACAAATATACCCTTCATTAAATTGGATTTATATCACAAAAAATCACAAAATGGTACACCTGTGACAGATGGTAGAGGGTAAAACTCCAAACTAGTACACTCGTCAACTACCACGTGTCATCTAACTCAAAAATTTGACAGTAATTTAACAAAAATTAACATATGGTAAAAGTGTCACAGGTGTACTAGTTTGGGTTTTTTTTTGTCAAAAATAGTTTGAGATAAATTTGTCATAAGTGTACAAGTTTGGGGTTTTTCGTGGTATTGACTCTAAATAATATGAATATACTTGCGCCTTCGACCAACAAGTTTCTTCTCGAAACCATTTAAAAACCTTTATTGCAAAACTGAATAATGCTCAACAAGTGTTTCAAACCTTTTGACAAGCAAGATATTCTTAATCGTAAAATTGTTACCACAAATAGTACCACAGCTAGTGATCTTTCCTTTTTGTTGTCAACAAATGTGAATATTCCTCCATCTTTGTACTCTAGGATGGCAAACTAAGCATCAAAAGTCATTTGTATTGAACATCTACTGTTCAAGTATCACGTATCCTTCTACTGTTCAAGTATCACGTATCCTTCTTTGAATTCTTTGCTTCAAGTTCCTCCAAGACAAACAGAATGTCTGATCTTAGGTACCCTAATAGGGAAAATTACCCAATCAGTCTTCAACCTATTATACGGATATCAATTCAGCCATAAATTTTCAAATTTTGTTAATTGAATACTATACATTTGCATGAAATTCCAATGTAATCCTTCTAGACAATTTTCCCTTTAAACGTGCCATAAGTATGACCAATTTAATAATCTTTTAAATAGGACAATAGCTCTTGAATTTTTATTTTTAAAGAATTTCTCACAATATGTGAGTTCTCAATGGATAGTCGATGTTACAAAAATGGAGATGAACCTCATCGTAAATTCTATCTATACCGAACATTACTTCTCAAATTTGTAAATAATTACTCCCCATTCCTCATGTTTCGCATTTAGAAGCGCGATCGGTCGTAAGACATAACTCTTAAATTCGGAAGACTTTAATGGCCAAAGCTCCTGATAACACTTCCTCAAACTTTAGGACGTAAAGAAATTTTTACAAAAATATTCTGGTGGGACCAAGATATATGGATGGATACGTAAAAAAAAATTTAAATAATGGGGTCCAAGCATGATGTCGGAATGTTCAAGATTTATTATGGTGAGGCCATTAATGCGCCGTTTTCTTTGCTTGTGGTTTCGCTGTCATGAGAAATCATTTTCCCATTTATAAACTCCCATGTTGCGTCTGAAGAGTCGCTTTTCTCACCGATCTCCCCTCCAAAGGTTCAAATCTCTCCTTGTCTTAAACCATGTGGACCACTTCACACCCACAATTCAAAACCCCCAACAGCAACAGCAAACGATACATGTGTTTTCGACTCTGAAGTTAAGCTGTTCGAGTTTGCAAATACGTTTGTCGCGCTTGTTTCGCTTCTTATTCTCGAAGCAGCGACAGATCTACTCTTTCAAATGGCCCGGTGGCAACTAGATAGGACGCTATCTACGTCGCCGAAACTAAATACATGATTACCTAACGTAATAGAAAACTGATTCTGCGTGTCCGCGTCGAGCTCGATACGTATGTACGTGTATGCAATGTATGGTACCCCTTTGTATGCTTGTGGCTCAATGTCATCCTTGGTAATCATCGGTCTCCTTCTATCCCTGTTGACTCAGCTTGAAATGAAGACTCTTCTTTAGGTCAAGGTAATAGATATAATGGTTAATATCACAAAAAATCCTAAACTGATATAAATTTACCTAAAACTAATTTTTTAAGCATTAAAAACCCTAAACCGATACACCTGTGATAAATTCATCATTCATTAATTTCTATCAAATTTTACCGTTAACTTGTTGAGTTGGATAACACGTGACAATTTACGGGTATATCGATTTATGGTTTTTCGTGGTATTCCAATTGAACAGAAACTAACAGAGGGTAAATTTGTCACAAATGTACCAATTTGAGATTTTTTGTGGTCAAAAAATTAGTTTGGGGTAAATTTGTCACAGATGTACTAGTTTGGGGCTTTTATGAAAAAAAATTAGTTTATGGTAAATTTGTTACATATGTACTAGTTTGGAGTTTTTCGTGATATTAACCCTAGATATAATTGAATTTTGAGAGCTGACAAATGCCCCCATAACACCCGGTCTTGGTGATTTCCTTTTGATCCCTATAATTACCGCCGCCTGATGGTGTAGAAAAACAAAAGGGTTGAAAATCCTCTCTTGAATGTATGATCTCACTATGCTTTTCAAGAACCCCCGTTGCTTGTGATGTCCATCCCAACAGGTGCTTCTCTCTGCTTTTGGTCAACCTCGACCGATTCTTGCATTGCTATGAACCAGTCAGCATCGGCAAGAAGAGCATCATCAACGCTTCTGGTTTATATTGAGATATGAAAAAGCATGCCGGTTCATCATCAATTTACAGATGATCTGGCATTACAAAAAAACACCGGATTAGCGACGAATTTTGCGACGAAAAATTTGGAAAAATCCGTCGCAAATCGAATTTGCGACAAATTTAGCGACGGAATTTTTCCGTCGCTACTAGGTCGTCGCAAAATTTTGCGACGGAAAATTTCAATGTTCGTCGTAAAATTGCGACGGAAAGAAATTCGTCGCAAATAATTCGTCGCAAAATTCGTCGCAAATTTGCCACGAACACTATCCGTCGCAAAATTCGTCGGAAATTTCGTCGCAAAATTCGTCGCAAATAATTTGTCTCAAAATTTGTCGGAAATTTCGTCGCAAAAAAACATTCACTACAAAAAAACAAGATTTTAGCGACGAAAAATTTGGCAAAATTCATCGCAAAATTTGGCAAAATTCGTCGTTAAACGAATTTGCAAAGAATTTTGCGACGGAAAAAAATCCATCGCAAAATTTAGCGACGGAAAATATCAATTTTCGTCGCTAATTTGTGACGAAAAAAAATTTGTCGGAAAATTTGTCGCAAAATTGGTTGCAAAATTCGTTGCAAAAAATTCGTCGCAAAATTCGTCACTAATTATTCGTGGCAAAATTCGTCGCTAATTTGTCACGAACTTTATTCGTCGCTAATTTCTAATTTGCCACGAACTATATTCGTGGCAAAATTCGTCGCTAATTTTGTCACGAAATTTTTTTTTTGGTTAATAATTTGCGACGAACTTATTGGTTGCAAAATTTGTCGCTAACTTGCTACCAAAAATTTTTATTTTTACCATTAACATTACTCATGAACGAATTTAGCAATAATTTTTTATTAATTCTTTTGCGACGAATATCATTTAGGGACGAAATTAGCGACGAAATTTTATTTTTACAACGAACTTTTGTAATTTGTGATCGTAAGATAAAATCATTTATTTTATTTTTTAATTTTAAACCTAATTAAAAGCAAAATTAATTTTTGAAATTTATATTTAACATTGATTAAGCACTTAATAACATCAAAATATTATAATAATATGAAAATAAAGTACATTCATCTACATTTTCCAAAATGTATGATCAAGCTAGAGAAGAAGCAGTCGAACATGTAATTTCTCGGGGAGCTCCTCCTTGCCCTCGACAGGGCAAAACAATTGAACAAAAGCTCGCTCATCCGCGCCCAAAGTAAACATCCAATGATTTCCGGATTTATCATAGTATGATCAAGCTAGAGAATAAGCAGTCGAACATCCCCCCTCATGCAATCTTTGCTCTTGAGAAGTCCATCTCTGGATGCTGCAAGAGAGGTCGCCAGAAAGAAGAAATTAGCAACGTTGATCTACAGATACAAGAACGCTCATCAATAAGAAAAGCAACCAATATCAACCAAACTAAGCGCCGCAAATCTAAGGCATAAAGCTCAGTTCATTATAACAAACTCCATATTTATCCGACAGCACGATTAGGTCATCAGTCATCAACCAAACCTATGTGTGATTAAACTAATAAGCACGAAGGTGGAAAAGTTCTTTTCATGAAATGGAAGCATGCGTTACATACAGAGAGGAAAAAATACAGATGGGGAAGTACCCAAAAGATCACTGAGGTCAGGCACAAGAATGCAACTAGCACAAGGAAAAAGAAATTCGAGAAAATACAGTCTGCAAACACACACTTGTATATCTAAACAGCTTTGATGAAACTCGGCCCTGATGAAGGCACATTTTCACCCACTTCTAAGTCCACATGCTTACCCTTTTTTCCTACCTCTGTTTGAACTACTGACAAGCAAAGTCTGCTCCACACTCTGTTTGGTTTTTGAAATCCTTTCACTTTTTCTCAATCCAGGCATCTTCGCTTTCTTCTTTCCAAGCACCTTAGGTGGCCTACCACGCTTCCGCTTCAACTTCTGTGAAGATGGCTCAACCAAATCAAAAACCCCATCCTCTTCGGCCTGCTCACTAACGGCCTCCGACCCACGACCTCCTCTTCTCTTTTGCTCGAGCTCAGCAGCTCTCTTCTTGTCCTTTGCACCTTCTTTTCCAACCCCACTACTAACAATAGTCCGTGACCGCAAAACTCGTCCCACGAAGTGCACTCCATCGTCTAAAGCTTCCTCCTTTGCAATTTTCTTAATCGGCTCATGACATTGAGTCCCTTCTCCACAACTTTCCCGACTCCTTTCCTGCTACCCTCCAATGCACCGTTGCACAGACCTTCACCTGTCGACACAACTTCACCACATTCGCTCCCAGAAACTACCATCTTGTCACTTACAAAGGCTCCATCTTCCAACGGGACCGCTGACTCCTCACACGCCTCCGCATTGTCCGATGCCAAAGCCGGCGCTTTCCCACCACCCAAGTCAGCACCTTTCGGCATCACGTCAACCAGACACAGGCTCATCTTTCTCCGGTTTCGCCCGCAGCTTGCCTGATCTCAAACCGTCCCTCATCCTTCCCCACCCAAAAAACCACCAACCCTCGAAGAGAACCCGCTCCAATTTCACTACAATCTCCCCGTGTGAGGCACGAAAAAACCGCACACAAAACAAAGCTCCCACCGCAGTTAACCAGCACACAATCGCAAGAATCACTCACGACCGCGACGCACGTTACTGTCCCACCACAGCAAAACGGAAACCCGAAACCCGAAACAGAGACATAATTTCAAACACCAACAAAAAAAACAAAGAAAAAAAGATCATGGACAAAGACAGGTAGGGGGATCAAGATCAAAGGCGACGGCTCCGGGGAGAGGAGCTCTCACCGGCGGCCCCCAGCAATGTCGCAGCGGCCCTACGATCCGGCGGCGGAGCAGGGCGAATTTGCGACGGATTGATTTTTCCTCACCGCCCTCAACACCGCCGCGACGTCCCTCTCCGCCGCCTCATGCGCGAGGAAATCGCTCCGCTCGGCCACGAACTCGAAGGCCTCCTCGATGAACCCCAGCGGGCTGGACGGATCGAACCTCGCGCTGAACTCCGCCGCGGCAGAGGAGGAGGCCGAGGGCTTGGCCTCAGGTTGCTTCTCCTCTTCCTCCTCGAAGTTGGAGGTGATCGCCATGGACGGTGAGCTCCGGGAGGGATCGAATCGGAGATTGCTCTTCTCTGGCTTGATTTCCTCTAGGGCTCCGGAGGCCATGCCCTCAGAGGTTTGGGGGTGTGGGGGAGAGGGAAGAAGGAGAAGGAGAAAGAGAATGAGAAGCGGGAACTCGAAATTTGCGACGGAGGGCAAAGAAGTCCATCGCAAATTTGCGACGGACTTCTTTGTCTGTCGCAAATATTCTTTTTCCGTCGCAAATTTCTTTTCCCGTTACAAATTTGCGACGGATTCTTTTTCCGTCGCAAAAATTTTCGACGGAACTTTTTTTCCGTCACAAAAATTTGGGACGGACTTTGTTTCCGTCGCAAATTTTTGCGACGGATTTTTTTTTCCGTCGCAAATTTGCGACGGATTTTTCTTCCGTCGCAAATTTTTGCGTCGTAAGCAATACCATTTTTGTAATCCGTCGCAAATTTGCGACGGATGGATTTTGCGACGGAAAATAGATCCATCGAAAATTTGCGACAGAAAATAGATCCATCGCAAATTTGCGACGGATTTTTTTTCCGTCGTAAATTTGCGACGAATTTTTATTTCATGGCAAATTCCGTCTCAAATTAGCAACAAATAATTTTCGTCGCTAATTTGCGACGGAAAAAAAATTCCGTCGCAAATTTCCGTGGCAAAATCCATGTGTTTTTTGTAGTGTGGTTTCGACACCTTCTTTTTTTCATTTCCATCGCCATTCTCATAAGATAAAAATAACACTCAAGTGAATCGAGAATAATCATCCATATCAACAACGACCATATCGTTTACCACAAAGACTTTGTGTCCTCCTAAAGTCTGCTTGCAACTTTTACAAAGGACAATTACTTGATACGACAGACCAAAAAAAAAAAATTACTTGATACAAAATTCTTAGAAATAAACGAACCTTTCGCATGCTTACTCATGGAGCATGCATCACAATGACTTCGGTCTTTGATGATTCTAAAATTCCTAGGATTGATTAATTGGTTATTGTTTATTAATAGAATATGAATGGATCTGAAAGAAAAAGACTTTTTGGTCTTTGAATATTGCGAAATTCCTAGGATCGACATATTGGTTAATGTTTTATTTTAACTTTGAAATCGTCTGCTGGGAATTCGCAGAGGAGGTCTGACGATGTCACGCCTCGAACCCTACGGCACGCGACAACCCCTTCGTCGATCATATTGATGTGACGTCCCAGGACTCGTCGCCGACCCACTACCCAAATCAGAGAATAATACACATGCGGAAGCAAACAAACACCCGTACATAAATAAAACATGACCAAGCATAGCAACGAACATCATAAATACAAACTTACATTAATACAAGGGAATTTACAATATCCAATACACAGATATATACACAAACCAAAATGGGTCAGCAGGCCACTAACATAAGAAAGGGGTACGTGGCTCGGGGCGATCAGGTACTAGATCTAATAGGGCTCTTCCAAAAAGTGTCGGCCCCAAACCCTAGCTAAGGTCAGGCTAACCCCTATGGTACCCAGTCCGGGTCGGATCCCGAAGACTCGGATGAATCATCGGACGACTCGGATTCGGAGTCCATAGACTCAGGCTCGGACTCAACCTCCACTGGCTCCTCCTCGGGGTCATCCTCTGGCTCTGACTCCAGCTCCATCGGCTCCGGCTCGGGATCGGACTCCTACTCCATCGGCTCCTCCTCCTCAGGGTCGGAATCCATGTCGGACTCGAAGATGACTGGCCGGGGGTCAGAATCCTCCTCGGATACGGCGTCGGGACTCACTATCTCCCCATCGGCGGGATGTGGGTCCCACTGGCCTAGCCCGTCAAACGGAATGTCGAAAGTCCTAAGGGGTCCATAGAAGCCAGTCTCGTCCCTGTAGCACCAACCTAGATAGGGATGGGCCCTGAGCTGCGGCCCGCCCTCGACGACCCAGACAATGGTATAATATCTAATATACGCCTCCCCATTCCAACTGGGGTACTCGGTCACCGAACGGTCTATATAGTTCAATACCCCAAAACGTGACAGTACGCCTACCATCCTCAAGGCTGGGGGTCTGAAATGTTGGATTTTAACAACAATGAGAATAAATCTCAGCGAGTAGGCCCCCTAAACCTAAACTAGGCTAACATGCACCTCTAGACAAGCACTAACCAAACAAACAGTTCAGTACACAAATGACTTAGGCCCTCGGGCCCAAATCCAACACATATTCAGCCATGCAGGTTAGGCACATAATGACAACGGTAATAACGCAGAACACAATCATGGCACATACACGAAATCACTTGGCCTCAAACACATGCCATGCACATGCTTGCACTCGTTAACGCACTCTCGCACCCGTGCCGTTACCATGCACATGCTCATGCTCATTTGTGCACACTTGCACAAGTGCCAATGCCATGCTCATGCTTGCACTAATCAATGCACACTTGCACACGTGCCAATTTCTCAATTCACTTTCGACCCGCGTAAAACGCATCAGGTCCGACCCGCGTAAAATGCATCAGGTCCATCACTTCCCAATCAATCTCCGGCCCGCGTTAAACGCATCATACTCATGACACAACCCGCGTGAACGACGCCTCAGGTTGGCCATCTTCCGGTAATCCGGGCATCGTCCCGCGTTAAACGCCTCAGGACAGGTTCAATACCCCGCGTAAACGACGCCACAGGGTTTATGTGATCACGCGTGCACATCTATCAATTATTATCTGAACCCCGCGTAAACGACGCCTCAGGGCATTTTAGATGATCACATGCTCGATGCCATTCGTGCACACTCGCATGATTCACATGTTATGCCGACATTTAATGTGCACAATTTATGACCATATCATCCAACACTCGGGCATCAATTGAATCCACCATAATCATTCAATTTAACATATCAACATGCCCAATTAATCAATCAGACCAATTCAGCCACGGCCCACCAATTAGTGCACAATATCATGCCATTAGTCATTGAAATTACACATATCAATGCCCCACAATGCATCTCATTTCTCGGCCACACCAAGCACTCGACATGGCTTTACATAATTAATTACAAATCAGGTACAAATCAGCCACCACATCGCCAATTCAAGGCACACACGGTAATTCACAATTAAACCATGATTTAGCCGCACAAAGTCCAATCAAGCTCACAATGATCAGCCACTAATCAGGCCACTCTAGGCCACTAAATCACCTTTAAATCATCACATTAGGCCCCCATAATCACCACATTACCAAGCCTAATCACCAGCCACTTAAACAACCCCTAAAACACCCTAATTAACCCCTAAACTTGTCCAAAATGCACATAATCCTAATTAAGGGTTAGGGTTTCCACTCACAATGTCTTAAACTCCAAATGTGGGCCGGACTAGAGGAGAAATGGGCTGGACGGTCACCGGCTCACGGCGGAACCAGCGGCGGCGCCGGCGGCTCTCACCGTGGCGAACGACGGGCTGGTGGTGACGGCTGATCACGGCGGCCAGGGAGGACGGTGGTGATGGTGGTGGAACGAAAATGGGAGAGAGAGAGAGAGAGAGAGAGAGAGAGAGAGAGAGAGAGAGAGAGAGAGAGAGGTGAGGTCGGCTGAGGTGGTGGTGTGTGGGCGGTCACAGGCCGGCGGCGATGAGCGGCGCTAGGCGGCGGTGCTACATGGCCAAGGTGGGGGCTGGCAGTGGCGACGGAAAGAGAGAGAGAGAGGAGAGGAAATGGGGTGACCGAAGGGTGGTCAAGTGGTGGGTGAGGGCGCGAGATGGCCACGTGAACGGCGGCGGTGGGCGGCGCGGCCGCAGCTTGGGGCTACTCCGGAGAGGGCTTCACGTGAGAAAGAGAGGAGAGAAAATGGAGAGTGTGAGGGGGAGAGTGGCCGGCGCAAATGGGGAAGAATGAGGGAGAGAGAGAATGTGAGAGGTTTAAACACAAGGCTTAAGTGGGGTTGTTGAACTACCCCACTAAAAATGATCAACTCACCCACTCCACTAGCACATTGATCTAAGGGCTGAAATTCAAGGGCCCATCTAATCTATCCACATCTAATGGCCAAGATTGGTTCTAGGCTAAAATATCTAAGGGCAATTTGGGGATTAGCAAGGATGATGGGGGGCTTATATGTCCAATATTTTCAGCCACTACGGGGCTGATTAAGACCAAATAAACCTCCAAAATTCGGAATCAATGCTTTGGGCTCAGGGGCAAATCGGTAATTTCCACTTCCGATCCAAAATTCCATTTTTCGATCATACCGATCCCAAATATAATTGGCCACACTAATGCGACGTCGTCCTTGCAAAATAGTCGCGTACGTCCGTGAAATTCGACACTCAAGTCTGGATTCAATTCGACGATCAATTTCGCTCAAATGCGATTTTAGCGTCTCTTACTAACGGACAGCTGTTTAGGGGGCTACGCGTATCAACTTAGGATTACTCGAGTCGTGACGGTCTCGATTTCCAAGAGAACGCGAGGATTTATCGTTAGTTCCGGAGGTCGCGATCGTTCAGAGTAGGTTTAAGATCGTTCACCACGCGTACTCTCGGTCGTGCGGAATCACCCGCGATCCGATCATACGTCGTTGGCAAAACCAAATCCGTCGCCCTCCTTGGATCGGCCCACATTGGCCCAAAATATTCCCCCGTCGTTCCTCGGAATCGGAGCTCGATTCACGGTCGAGTTCTTGGGTCCACGTACTGTTTTCCTAGTTAGCCCTTCCCTATTGGTCAGTATCCCGAGAATGATCAGTTCCGGGCGAGACTTACTAAAACGAAATGAGAAATACATATCCATTTCATTGATCACGAAAGTGGGTCGAATTCTGGATGTTACAAACGATGCCGGCCAAGGGTCAGGCAACAACAGCCGAGGGCCGGCGGTGTCGGCAAGGGTTGGGCAACGCTGGCCAAGGCTTCACGCAACCATATCTGAGTTCGAGATGAATTGATAATAAAAAAAAAAACTTTCTAGTTTTTGATTATTCTAAAATTCCTAGGAATGATTAATTGGTTATGGTTTATTAATACAATACGAATGGATCTAAAAAAAGACTGAAATTCCCAGGATTGATTAATT